AGTTCCATATACATGTAGAAACTACATGCTCACCAGTGACTGTGGGCATTTGTGCACATTTGTGCTGTAAAACCAAAGGACGGTTAATGAGGATGAACTCTGATCAGCACACGTCACAGCTTGGAGCCCCAGTACAAACACAATAATAAACAAGACATGTACATCATACTTAGCTGCATTTAATTAGGGAGACATCATAACACCAGATGTATCTATAAGCACATAAACATTAAATATGACTTTAAATCAAGATAAATAGAAATTTAAAAAAAAAAGATTAAACAAAAATACTATATTAAAGATTCAAGGGTGTGAGAATTCAGCTTTTTTGTTCAGATGTTGACCCGGAAATTCAGCTTTTTTTTGTACACCTGGTCTGCACAAAACTATGGGAGCTTTTTACATTTCGGCTTTTTACTTAGCAGTTTTCAGCGTAAATTTTAAGTGGCCACTCCAACCCTGCAGATTATAATTAGCCCATTGTTAATTTTACTGCATGGTTTTGTAAAATCTGAAGTCAGTTAACGTATTTCTCAGCACCTCTTGTCCAAACTGTGCAGTGGGAGCCAGTATGAGGTTTATACAATGTATTACGTGTATACCGTTAATGGTCAACGTACCAACTCAAACATTTCAACTTATCTGAGTCGTTGAGACCTTTAGGCAGTAGTTTTATCAATTAACGTGTCCCATCTGAGATACTTATCAAACCATACACCAAGATAATGGTAGTTTAACCGGGTCACATTCTCCAATATGCTGTACATGTACATTTATGTATATCCTTAATTCAGATTATTATCTTTAAAAAGTTTTTTAATGTGCCAGTGGTCAGTTCTGTGGTTTTTGACGCAATAAGTGTTTATTCGTTGTCAATATGATTTGTTTATTTGGCATGTCATAAAAACAGACAAACAAACAAGAAACATAAATATATATAACGCACACACACGAAAACATTTGACCAGTGGCACCTGCCAGGAATTTTTGAAAAGTTGAGTTAACAACTGTGACTTAGAGGCCTCTCACTCCAGTGCCTCTGACACACAACAAACGTATAAAAACAGTTTTCTAGCTACATGTATGACCACCAAAAACAATAAACATTGAAAAATGACTAAATTTATTTTCAGAGACTGCTTTAGACCCAATCAGTTGCAGGAGAGTGGCATGGAAACCTTTATAGAACAGATCGGGGACCTAAGTGTCATAGAGCATGCTTCAATTACCCCAGATGTTTGTTTCTGAGAACAGGTGAATGGGCCACCCTGCATACCCTCAGATCAAATTTGCCATCTGGAGAGCGACAAGGCGTCCTACTGCGGATGAGATTCTGAGAACATAGAAGATTCTCTAATTGACCTGTGCGCTGTTGTTTGGTTGCAGGTGAACGGACCGCCCTCGTTGTCCTCGGACCAGGTCCAGCACCTGGAGGGCGACAAGGAGTCCCTCCTGCTGCAGATCAGCGTCCTCAGTGACCAGGTGGAGGCCCAGTCGGAGGCCATTCAGGAGATGGAGAAGGGGCTGGCCGAGGAGAGCAGCAAGCTGGCCAAGGCCGAGGCCATGCTGCAAGAGGTAAGGACCTGGGCCCAATAGAGGGTGTCCACAGCAGCCATGTTGCAGGCCAAGGGCCATTTTCACGGTCCTGCTAAGCATGCAGTTTTACGCTAACAGAAGCTCTGCATATTTCATGAAGAATGTAAGCAGTAAGCAATGCAAAAAGGCACGCTTACCTTGGGGGCAATATTTGCAAGTGACAAAAATATGAAAAACTCTGTGTTCTCACAGCTGTGAGCACAACCAGGCCAAGCACTGCCGTGGAAATAGTGCTCAAGGTTAGCAAATTTTTCTACCACAGAAAGCGTGACTTTTCTGTTAACTGCTAAGCGTGCCGTGAAATTAGTCCCAGTGCTTTTGCTCTCCAGAGTGTGCACAAAGGAGGTATTTCTGTGGAACAAAAGAACTGCCCTGCAAGATGGCTACCACGCAAAGCCTCTATTTAATTTAAGCCTCTGCGAAGCTCATTCTTTTTTGCCAAGAGAGTTTGTGCATATTTCATGAATACCGTAAGCAGTAAGCATGGCAAAACGTACGCTTACCTAATGGGAAAAATTGCTTGATGTTGTAACAAAACTGTGGAAATCTCTAAATGGGTGTAACTGTAAGTGCAGCCATGCGAAGCATCCCCATGAAATAGTGCTTACGGTAGGCTAAAGTTTTGGCTATAGTGAGTGCAACTGTTCTGCTTAACGTTAAGCATCCCCATGAAATAGTGCTTATGGTAGGCAAAAGTTTTGGCTATAGTATTGTTCTCTTTAACGTTAAGCACCACCATGAAATAGGGCCCTTGTCTTCTGCTGACTCTACAGTGTTAGGTTTAAGCTGTTTTAAAAGCTTAAACCTAGCAGGTTATGGTGACATACTTTTGTCGTTTGAATTTGAGAGCAGGCTCAGAAATTTCTAAACATTTAGACCGACAACCACCATTGTTTGAATGCATTTTATTGAAAACCCATATATTCAAAGAAATAGCGAGCCTCAAAAGCAGTCACTGAGTTTACTCAAAGTCTTTTTGAGATGGTCAATCGAAGGATGACCGATCAATCAGCCAGCATTTCCTCGTTAGCCAGCGGGCGGAATTCTCGGCCAGCGGTCATCTGGGATTAGTCTGGTCCAAGTCAGATGCAGGAAGAAAGTCAGGGCTGTGCTCATTCCGGATACTATGCCCATCATGAGGAAACCTCCGCTGTAGCTGTTGGTGACATCGTGCAAGTAGCCTACATGAGGAGGGGGTCAGAAACCAGACATACATTACACAAGTCAGGGATGCCTGGCATATCTAGATAATGTGTGGCTCCCCGACCCTCCATTTCAAATCAAACACATGTATAAAGTCATTTAGTGCTGGCACAATTGCATATTTATAAGAATGTTAACCACTTTGTGCTGGGGCATTTTTCAACGTTGATGATGCTGAGCCGGCATGACTATCATTTTTTCCGTTTTCAAAATCCTTCAAC